TGGTGAATAGAATCAATCCATCCTGTCTAGCTGTCAGTGGCTTTGATAAAATATTTTGGAATTTCCTGCACTGTAAATTATTTTCAAGAAGAAAGGCACAGCACTATTAACAGCTTCTGATTTCTATTTATAAGACACACACACGTACACACAAAGGAAAATTCATTCCTGGCTAAACATTCCGTCCAGCTTCTTATATATCTTACATGGATATGCAGTTGATGGGAATTTCAGAACCCATGTCTGAAAATGCTTTTGCTTGCAGGTTTTGTTAAAATGTTAACAAATACAGAGGCTGTTGTTTTCCCAATTATCTTTTTGAGGAGGACCCCATGGTCCTGAGTTGTTAGAATGTTGAATGGAGCTGGGGTGCAGTGATTGACCACAGATTAATGAGAGCAGAAGACACTTCTAGATCTCTTATACCTCTGATCATCTCTTATGGATGGCGTATTCAAGGATGATTTTAGCCTTTTGGTTTCATCATCTCAACTGGTTGTCAACTAACAATTTCATTCACCAGATGATGATTTGGCCCTTGTAACTTGTTAGTACTAAAGCCAAAGCCAAACCGTAATTACCAAAACAAAAATCAAAGTGGCATTTTGTTACAAATGTTGTTAGCACCATGGCCCTTGCTCCAGTCTGGTGTCAGGTATTGCAGGCTACAGCTGCTGTCAGCCTCAGCCAGTATGGCTAGTAAGTCGATAGGGAATATGGCAGTTGCAGTGAGTGATTCTTGTTCCTAAACAATGCAAGCTGAGTAATCTGTGGCAAGGCTGGGGAAAATTAGGCCTCCCAAATGTCATTGCAACTTTCCGCATCCCATGCCTTGATAGCCAAAGGGGAAAGGTGCTGGGAGTTGCAGTCTGGCAACATTTGGATCTCCATTCCTGGTCTCTTTGTCCGTACAAGTCCAAACAAGTTGCATGTGTCTGATGACATGGACTGCAGTGCACAAAGGCTTATGTCAAACAAAGGCCTGCCATAGGACTCACTTTCGCTTTTTTTTAAAATGTAAACTTTTTTTCTGTAACAGATTAAAAAGACAAGGGCAGACCCTCTTGCCTCTCTGCATGCAGTTAGGCACTATTTATTTCTTGCATTTTTATCTCACGTATCTAGTGACAGAGTACTACTCTGAGTGGATAACAGTGATAAAAAAATACACCCAATTAAAAACACAGAAAAAAGACTCCAAAGTCAACAGCAAATAAAACTCACTTAATAACACATGAGGGTCATGCTCATCTCTAGTGCATACGTTTCTGCACTGTATGTGTTGTACCTACTCACATCTTTGTTT